ATTTGTAATGATATCTTTAATTCTCTAAATTGGTGAATATTTTTGTCATTTTTGGTAAAAAGTGATACTTTCGACTTCTTGTTAAAAACCACAAGTCCAATTGCTTTGATATTACATATATAGATACTACATATGGACCACTCAAATTTGTTCATTTCATGATGATATCTTCAATTCTCTAATTTTGATGAATATTTTTGTCATTTTTGGTAAAAAGTGATATTTTCTTCTTGTTAAAAACCACAATCATTTATGGTCAAAAATGATATTTTTGAATTCTTGTTGAAAACAGCAAGTCCCATTGCATTGATACTATGCATATTGTTCATTTTCTAATGATATCTTCTGTTCTTTAATCGAAATGTGCATTGCTAACAGCGGAGCTATCTCAGCCGAGAGGCTGCTTGTTTTATATTCATAAATGAATCCTAATTTTGGAGCCAACAGATAAAATTTGAATAAATTTTCAGTTTTCACTAAAAAAAAATGGCTATTATTGTCCCAATCTTCTGTAGGAAAGTGCAGACTATAAGCAGGACTATTTTGTGGATTTGTGATGAGAAGAGGGAACTGGTTGTAAAAAGGTTAATGTAGAATTGTGTTTTGGGTGGCGTCAAATTTGTATAGTTTTAAAACTGTGACGTTTGCATGTATCTTATAGAGATACTGTTATGAGAACCAAAAAGATTATTTAATTAATTAATTATCAAGCATATTGAATAATGCTACATGTACAACATTATATTTTGTATTCCAGTATCGACTAGACATGAGCACAATGTCAAAGCAAATACATGATTTAATACGGATTGCCATGAATACCATTGATGCTCAAGTTCATTTCTGTAAACCCAAAAAACCGGAACCACCACAAGCGGAAGATATTTGGGGAGCTACGAGTCCAGCATTGCCGGCGCAGAAAGCAGGTAAGTTGTACAGCCATTGTGTGTTGACCTAAGTATGCACAATATTTCACAAGAGTTTGATGAGAATATGAAATTCTCCTCTCACTCAGAGAGGAATATGGCATTGAGATGCTTTTACTTCATCAAAAATAACATCATCAAATGTGAATAGAACATTATTAAGAGTGGAAACCCACAAAAAATAGTTTTGCAGTTGCAGTTGAATCCTACTCAATGTTTTGATGCCTCAACGCTATGACATTTGGTATATACTTTATACATGGATTATTTATTATGCATGTTGCGAACTCAATGTGTTGTATTCATTTTATCTTTTCAGGTGTCATTGAAGAAGAAGATGATTCTAGTATTGAAACTGAATCCTCGGCACCGCACAGTCCATCGTCACCATTGCTAGAAGCAGAAAGTCAACCCCCATTACCGACCAATGCCAATGTCAACGTCACTATTCCTCAAGAGAACACAGCAGCCAACAAGCGAGAAGAAAACGCAAGTATATTTGCCAAAATTTTCTCCAAATCAAAGGATGAATCAAAAGGGAAGATGTTGAGCACTAGTTGGAGTGTTGGGGATTTTCGCAAATCGGGGTCGGGAAAGATTGCTAAAAGCATTTCTTACAGTGCTTTGAGTAAAGAAAGTAGAGTCACTGGAGTGGATCACAATGGAAGGCAACCCACATCTATTGATGCTAAGCAACATCTCCATGGGTTACCAGAGTCACCAGTTATCAAGGAAGAAGAAGATGAAGAAGAAGATGGAGAGAATGATTATGATGATGAGGAAGAGGAGGAGGAATCAGCTAAGCCTGAGCAACCACTATTGAAAAGCGATGAAGACTCAACACCATTGGTTACTATCGATGATTTGTTGCGCTCTTCTACCCCTCAGTTTACCCTTGGTGGGGACGGAGACAGTTCAGCATCAGATCCAACCACGCCACCAAATGGCCAGAATGTAAATGCACAGCAACAACAGCAAGAAGGTACCCCAATACCCAGCGACAGCATGGATGAAAAGAGAACCCCAGAATCTGCACGAACCTCTGAAAGTGAATCAGACATCCCAAAATTCATCCGAAGTTCCGAGCCAAGAAACATCGTAAGATCGGTCTGAGTTCGGTAGTTGCTCAAAAGCTGGCTCTCGGTGGGGAAAGAGAGTATACCAAGGCACAAACATTGAAAAAAGCGAGTAAAGGGGCTCAAAAAGAAATTGATAAGGCGAAGAGGGAGGACAGGAAATCTCGAAGACAACGTGTTAAATCGAAGAGAAGAAGTTCAAAAGGAAAGACAAAACATAGTAGTGTGTTTTCTGCTGTGAGGAGATATCATGATGATAAAAACATCATAGTGGCCAATAAGTAAGTTTAGCCTTTACCATTGACTGAAGTATAGACAATGATGAAATGTTATCAATTAACCCGGTAGCCATCACATACCAATATTCTCCTACTGTAGACTGCATCTTTGCATTCATTATATATAATAAATATCTTTAATACAATAGTCAATGATAATAATTGATATGATTGTAATAAATAATTGTAAAACTACTTATACAATTATTTTATGTTTCCATAGGCTACAGTACATAAAGTCGCAGGCAACCACCATGTTGGTAAAAATTGATGTGTTTTGCTTGTGTTTATTTAGGTGTTCTGAATGCGGTGTAGCGCTGGAGGAGTATGACGAAGACACTATATCATTGGCTATTGTAACTTTATCAACATATGTACATAGAGACCCATCACAATCAGCTCCACTGCTCATGGAAATGCTACAAGTAGTTGGCAGGTATGTGGTTATCGATTCAAACATAAATGTGGACATCTGTTGATGTCAGTGCACAACAACATATACATATATTCTTTCTTAACAAAGTAAAAATGAAATATACCACAGGCAACATCATGTAGATGGGGAGCAAAGGCAGCCTGGTCACACTAAAAACAAACAAAATATGGTTCACACTAACACTTGCAGCACTGTGCTCAACAATAGATTTTTTTCACAAACTTTGTTAATCTGGCAGGACCTGTGTGCTCCTCACCACTAACATTTGCAAGTTTTTTGAGCAGTATAAATGGAACACAACACAGCACACAGAATTCAGATGTAACAAAATTATTATTAAATAAACAAATAGTCATTAACACACAATAGAGTTGGCTGACAAAATATGTGAGTTGGTTTCCAAAATAATAGTCTAACCTACAAATGTTACAGGTGTGAGTGTGAGTGTAATATTTTTTTGTTTACAAAAATAGTGCATATTAATTAGTTAATTTGCATACTTTGTCTTATTTATGTATTTGCACATGTAGTATGTGTTAATGAGTGGTTATTATATTCAGCAATCAGAATACCTGACTGAAGTGCTCAAAAAAATATTTCATGGGACATACATTGCAACAACATTTACTGTGGTAACTTTTCCTTTACTCTGGCAAGTTAAAAATGAACCATTGAAGTTAATTACAGACAAAGTAAAAATACTAATTTGGAATTTGGTTCTTCTGGTGATACCAAATAAATGTACATTATTTTTTACATATAATCTTTGTTCTCATTCATTTCAGAATTGCTGGTTCTACATTGTATCCATGGCAACCTGAAAGGTAACATGTATATACTTGTTAACATAATAGAAATATAAAATGTAAAAATCTTTCACAAAAAAAATTACCATGATCTGGTCAATGAGAATGTATATTTGGTCCAGAATTTGGGAAAATTTACATTTTGGCAGGGAACTGAAATATGGTAGTAGACATAAAAATGCAGTCTACCTGGATTTATTAATAATGTAAGTACAAGAGTATTGTTTAACTTATTTCTTCATTCAATCTCTAGCCTTGTGAACACCCCAGCTAGTTCTATTACGGTGGCTCGTCAGTTTCTGCGATGTACATTGCATCAGATGGCGCCGATGGGAATCTTTCCACAGTTATTTCAAACTAGGATGGAAGGTAAATGTAATCTATGCAAGGAACACTGAACCAAATTATAGCAGCATTTTGAATGAAACGTAGACACTGTTAATTTAATTTAAATTAAATTAAATAATCATCGAATAATACAAAGCATTAACCAATTTTTCATAAAGGAAGTACATATATATGTTCTATGTTATCTGTGTCATCATATATCATATCATATCATATCATATTTTATTATACAGCATATCATATCATATATCATATCATATTTTATTACACATTATATCATATCATATCATATATCATATTTGAAATCAATTTCTATATAGATAGGTGTTACACCTAGCAAATGAGTATGATTTAATCAATTCTCAGAACCACACTGATAAACACATCACTGTATACAATTTTTTTAAATGTAGATCCGTATTTTATGAAGACATTGGCTGCATCTCTCACTGACTTCAATGAACTCAACCCTATAGCACCTATTTCATACTTACTGGAGGTAAGAAACTAAACTCAATCTATTGATCTCAAGTATCATTCTAGTCCACTGTTATGTCTTCTCCTGAGTAACTCAAATTATTTCAAATTCTGAACAAAATTAAAAATAGAAATTGTCGGATCCTGTCTGTCTGGTTAAAGTCGTAAAGGATTTGTTGAAGAATATATTATTATTATTAATTTATAATTATTATTGATATATTTAAGGCCTCACAAAAGAAAATTATGTTTCTGTTTTTTTCCAGTGAGGCAATTTTGTTTTGTTTTGTATTTTTTGGTATGCAAATTTTGTAGGCTTCATCACTTTGTCAACAGAAGGATCTTTGCAGTTGCAAAATAAGTGCAAAAAAAACTCAGCCCGCACTTTTTTTGGTGATCAGAAACCTATTTTTTTTTTCAATTTTGGGCAAACAGACATCTTCTTGTGTTTACTCAGGGACACTAAAATCTAGATTATTAAACTGATCTGAATAAATCAAAATAAATGTTGTCTTTATTAGGGCTTGAACTTCAAGAAAACTTTACCAGGTCAACATACCCTGATTGTGTTGTATAATTTGGCAGACTACCTTGAGTGTCTACCAACAGAGTCAGCAGCCGTGTGGTCACCTGTCTTACCATTATTTGAAACATTCTTTCGGAAGCTACTTGGATTTTTACCAGACCATGTAAGTATTAAAGTCAACTTTGACCTTTTTCACTTTCTATCCCATAATTGTCAGGTATGATTCGCTTTTCAGGTTTTGAACAAATTTTAGGGTTCTTGTGTCATCCAAATTACAAATGTATATCAGTTATTCTGTATATTCAGAATTCAATCATCTCAAACTATATTATACAAAAACAAAATTCCCAAATCGTAATTTTTTTAATGTCTATTTTTCCCATTTTTTCTTTCACAGTGTGATATGACGTCTACGTTTCGGATAATGATTGCTTTACTGAAGACACCAATTTCTAAGAATCTACAGGCGTTACTTGACCCTTTCTCTAAAGTGATAAGTTATGCGTTACAGAAATGCCGATGTAAATTACAAAATTTATTGGATATCTGTATGGCATGTCATCGCACTTTTATTAAGGTGAGCTCGAATGAATGAATCAAGAAAGAAAGAAAAAATTCTTTACCTGTCTACCTGTATATGAAATCATCAAGTTATGTGTACACTTGTAGATGACATAAACAATGTATGTGTATTACTGTATATGACATCATCAAGTTATGTGTAGTCTTGAAGATGATATATACATATGCTGTTGTAGTTTTTTTCAAATTTAACAACATAGTATATATTTCTTTTCACAGGAAAGGGACAAAATCTACTTAACACGTGCCACAGTGTTAGAATTGAGCACAGCATTGAAGTTCAAGTCTGCTTTACCAGATGCGAATATACTCCTGATACTTCAACTTGTGCTCTTGGATTCTGGTGGTCGGTTGAGTGAATCCAATATATTGGAAGAAGAAATCGGTGTTTATGACATTAAATCATTGGTAAGTTGCGAATATATTCTGTTTTAATTTTTGACCTGAGTATTGTGATTGTTAAATGAGTTAAATATACCAATTTTAATCTATTTCACAGGGGCCTACTGGTGCAGCAGATTGTATGAAACAAAGTTTGAGTGACGCCCTTGAATTCATTGGTGATCTCCATACTCTTACTAAGGTCAAGGTAACGATTGTTTTGTTTTTTTCATTAAACACAATTCTTGTCAGTGCTGTCTGTAATGGTGAAGTAAAATTTATATTGATGGTGGTGATGTGTTAATGCATGACATAATGTTTCCATATTCTGTATTTGAAGTGTATTTTGTGATGGGCAATTAATTCTCTACGCTGGCATCAACCTGGCTTGGTCAAACATCGTGTATATGTGGACAAATTTGTAGCATTGGCCCTGTTAGTGTGAAATTTTACTCTGCTTAGATTTCTTCCTTTTCTGACTTTTTTGTACTTTGGATCCAAACTAAAAAAACTGCTGATCACAAACCTAGATAAACAAACACTGTAAACGGTGATTCTCATTATATTTTTCATTTAGAACAACATGAAAGGGGGATCTCAGAATTTAAATGAAGACACTCTGGGAAGTCATCTTAAAGCTGGAATAGCTCAGTTTATAGCAGTGGAATTCACATACGCCAACCAACGAGACTCTAGAGGAATAAACCGATATCTTCCATGGCTCTGCCATCCACCATCAACCATGCAACAGGGGTGAGTGAATGCTGAGATTGGAATTCTGAGATCCAAAAAATACGAGTTGCATCTGAAACTTTAAATATATTTTGATAGCAGAACAAACTTTAAATAGCATGGCTACTTGGCAGCGAGAAGATTCATCTCTGCTCTTAGCTGGCTAAATTTAATAGCGAAGAATCTTATAATGAAATTCAATGTTGTTATTTTGTAGCCCCAGGGAGTTCATTGACTGCATCGCTCACATTCGTATGCTATCCTGGTTACTCCTTGGTTCGTTAATGCACTCTGCCATGTTTGACAACGCTATTGACAATAACGGTGTGACATGTCAGCCGATACCGCTAGAAGCTGGTATACATATAGCGGACCATGTATTGGTTATATTGACTGGGTTCTCAGAGCTATCCAAGACATCAGTCTTACACATGTCATCTCTGTTTCATGCGTTTATACTGTGCCAGGTAATGCATTTTATGTTATTTTTCACAATGTAGGATAATGTACTTCTCGATCGTCCCCACAAGTTTATAGGCCTTGTATTTTGTTTGTATGTGCTATGTGAATCTAATAATTTTGTAAAATCACGGAAATAAGCCAGCAGGTGCAACAATCTAGCTTATTGTAGCTTGATTTGTTTTTCCAATGTTAATTTTTCGATAGCGTAGTTAACTTTGTTGCTGTACGTGTAGCAAAGTATTTTGAAATCAGAAAGTTATTCACCTATGCATATCACACTATCACATCATTGTAACTAATATTTACCTAACAAAACAATTCTGGTAACAACTGTGAATTAAATGATAAATAACAAATCATTTTTCATAAAATATAAAATGTCTTTTGGGGGTGGGGTGGGTTATCAGTAAATGTTTTTTTACCCTCATGTATGAAGCACAAAAAGGGGTCTTTGTGTTTACCTCACTCAATGGATTTTTAGGAAATGCAGTACCTATGTGCCCTGGTTTGTTTTATGATTATGGTTGTTTTTATTACTTTTTTTTTAAACCAAGCTATGGACGATGTACTGTGAGCAATCAGCGAGTAGTAGCAGTGCAAACTCAGAACTGCATAGTGTTGCCTCTCTCACCATCATGGATTTCTGGGGAAGAGTCACTCCAGGTATATTACAGTTGTTGTCGCACTCCAAAGTGGTGAGTCCAAAAATATTTCATCAAATCAGTTACTGTTTTCAAATTACAGTGGTGATAGAAGAGATTAATGAAAGCTATTAACAATGATCCTGATATTGGTGTCCCATAATGCTATGCTTCAATCCCTGGGATACCGGTATTACATCATTGTCGACTCGGGCACAAATCATCGACTTGTAAACCTTTTTATTCAGTTCAAAATATTTTTTTTTTTGAAAGACTACCGGAAAATCATACAAAATGGATTTTTGGGAAAATGTTCATGTGAATAGTATTTCTCAATAAATCAGGACAACAATAAGTACCCATATTATAACTACATGTGATATTTACTTTTATCTTACCTTACGCTATTTATGAGCAACAGCATAAAAGCCATATACACATATAGTAAAAGTCAAGGAAATCTGGTGATAAGTTTCAATGTTTCAATATCTTGGAAACAAAAGTAACTTACAATTGTATAATTGTTTTCTCTTTCCATGACAACCTATCACTTTTTGAACACAAAAGAGCCGCTGCCAGTATCATTCGCAAAACATTTCATACCCTCCGTCGTATCGAGGTTCATACATTAACAAATTATTAAAATTATTACGCTTTTGATGTGGTACTGTTTGCAAATTGTAAACCATATTTCCCATATTAAAAGAAATAATAAATTTGCGTTCATAACCAAATCAAAAGCCATTCTACCATTGGTTTGTTAGTACATGTATATAATTTGGCAACATTGTAGGACATTTTAAATAAGCATCTTGGATCAGTGAACTGAAAAAAATTCATTTTCACATATATTTTTTTTAGTGTACTTTAGTGTAGTGTACTAATAAAATAACTATGGTACCGCAGTTTGCCAGTTTATCACTGATCATGAAATGGGTCTTAATCGGTTGCATTTACAAGCCTGGATGGTATACCCATTTTATCGATCAGTATTAAAGGCATAGCAAAACACATCATTCACTCCACTCACTGCTTGATGGACCTCCTATCTTACTAATAATTATCTATCTATTTACTAACTCTGTGCGCTTCACTTACTGGCATGTCTCATCACTTTATTTGCTGCTCTTAACAGGAACATTCAGAAAAAGAGGTAATCTCTAACTTTCTCTGTCTTATTTCATGGTTGTCATCGCTGTTATCTCTTGGTTGTTGTACTTATGGTTGTCAATGTTGTCATCTCATGATCATCATCATTTTGTTTCATTAAAAATACTCAACATGCTTTACTAACCATATGATTGCTCTGTGCTCATGTGTCTGAGAGACACTGGAGTGGGGTGGGATGGGATGGGATGGAATGGGATGGGATGGAATGGGATGGGATGGGATGGGGGATAGGATGGGATGGGGGATGGGATGCAATGGGACAGGACATTATAGGTTTTGTTGTTTTCCTATTGAAATATAAAATGATGCGCTGGATGGATTTGAATTAAAGTTATCACACACATTGCAAAGTCTGCTAATGACAAAGAATTTCTGTGACATAAAATGGGTTAAAGAAAAGCCGCTAACTGCGCCGGTATTGTTTCAATCTACAGTCGTCATTTAATTACGCCAATTTATGTAATTTTGACCTCACAGAATTACATGTACCTCATTGCTGGAGGGAGGGACTTTATTAGAAATAGTGTATCAGATAACCATTTAAAAAAAAACACACACTTTTACAGCAATTTTTTTTATTATATTTTTAGTTGATAATGCTAGAATGTTAGTTCATAGATGGAATGGATTTTGGCACAATTTTACAAAAAAAAAGTTATTGTCATTGCTCATCAATATTAATTTATGCAAATGATATGATTGCATAATGCAATCTCCCAATGCTATAAGGGGGCTGACATGGGCCAAGATGGGGTTGTTGGTTGGTTGGTCATAGTGTATATTTTGGCCATGGTAAGAACATGTCTCAATCCAGGTTTACTAACAGGAGCACCATTGTCATTTATTAATTCCCATCTGGCATAGTTCATTGCTATGTATTTTCAATCATTTGATTTTATTTCACAGACATTCCTCAAACAATTTTCTTCAAAGTAGGCACTCAGACAAGTCATAATGGTTTACATATGCTTCTTGATTTTTTTTTGTACAGTTGACATTTGACCAACTGATATGTGTCATTTGTTTTTGCGATTTGATAGAAATTTTCAACTGGCTGCTATTTTTTATTCTTTTGTTTAAAATATATACACAGCCATGACATAATGAGTTGCATGTCGTGTTTTCTGATTTTCAACTAACACGCAGCCATTTTCATAAAAGGAAACTAAAATCACAAAATATACGGGGATAATTTGATATTATACATAGTGAAGTCATACTCACCTTGCCACTATCAAATGCCTTAGTTTAGTGTTTTCACACCCTGATTTCCCTGAGGAGCCCAGTGCCCTCCTATCTCTAGTTCTATTTATCACCACTGAAAAAACTATGGTAGATTGTAGTGATGGAAGGTAGTAGGAATAAGGTAAGTAGTACTTCAATATGTAAAATTTCAAATTATCCCCCAGAGGAATTTGTGTATTTTACTAGTTCAGTTGAGTAAACAATGACACAACCAACAAACCAACTAAACTACTGGTAGCGAATTCCAAAAAGTGGACATGAAAGTAATTATTGACATCTTGGAAACCATGCATGAGGTATATCATTAGCAAAACACTGACTCATACTCTTTCCCTTGTCGATTCGGAATAACCACAGTCATTATGACATTTCGTGTCGCCAGTACTCTTTTGCAGTAAAGCTTGAATCACTGAGAATGGTGGAAATGCATCACATCCAGATTTGCCGTAGTTGGATCTGAGCATAAAGCTTCTGCCTGAGTTAAACAGGTTGATCAGTGACGTTCCCCACAGGGCAAACGGGTTGTTTGCCAGACCCTGGGTGATTCGCCATTTGATGGGGACACCACCACAACCCGACCCCCCCCCCACACACACACACCCCTGCTTTGTGACCTATCATGACACCACAGTTTGAGTTGTTGCAACAGACTAGATTTGTCTAGAAAGTGAACTAGCACCCTCTTCAGGTCCAACATCTTCAGAGATGTCATCCTGCTCAGTGCAGCCACTTGACTGACACTACCAGTAGTTTTGTGAAAATACATTGTATGTGTTGCTACATTGAGTCAGAATGAGCAAGCATTGAACTGATATTTTATTCCCTGAATCATGAAAACACAATTCTCAAATGTACCCATCGCGTTAATTATGATAGATAGAAATCCATGGCCACATTTTTTTTTTTCAAAGCCGAGGAATGTTACATGTATACCTTGTTTATGTTATTTTTAATTATTCTGCTTGCAGCTGGCTGAAATGGTCAATTTGCATTTTCTTGGTCTAATGGAAGCCTTACAAGAATGCAACTCTTCAGTTCTTTCCAAGGTGGGTAGCAATGATTGTTGCCATGGTACCAAAAGTTCTCCATTTTGCAAGAGCAAAATTCTACAAAGCTATTGGACATATTGGATATTGGATAGATTATTGTAATATTTAGTTTACATGACAGTTGCATGTGATTAGCATATCAATACAATATTTTGTTTAATTGACAATACACATTGTTAGCATATCACTGTCTATTGTTTTCATAACAACTCATTTTGACTTATTTTGAAAAATTAAAGAAGTTATTTATTTACACGAGTATATTAGTATGATGTATTGCTTTTCTGATATGCCATAAGATGCACACGTGTCAACCCATATCTGATCTAATTTGTTTCTTTGTGAGGCATGAATTTAACTTATTGATTTTAATTACAGCTGTTTCCACTGTGGACACCTATTCTATATAGTTACCATGCACAGGTAAGCACACACACACACATACTTATGTTCTGAGGACTCCATTGGATTATACAGTTATATTAATATAAACTGTACAATACTAACCCAAAGTTATGCTTTGTACAAGTTCAATGAAAGACACTAGAAAAGAGGGACATGCAACTCGGTCTTTTCTTTGATGTAGCTCCTGTTGGGATCTGTTTTAATCAATCTTTAATCCAATTAGATTACCGGTAAATCATGTCTTAGCTTGGGTTGTTTATTTGCACTTCAAAGAAACCTCCCGATTTGCCTGATTTGTGTTAATGAGAGTAATTTGAGAATATGCAAATTAGACAACTTCCCGCAAACTATCTTTGCTGTGTGCCTGTTCGTTATTATGTAAATCAGTGGTACAGCTTGTTTTAAAGATGTAATTGAATGTCCAGAAAGTTACGACAGCAAATTTGTAGATGGTTTCGAAAATTTAGAATATATTTCTGACGATGATTGAAGATGGGAAAGACAATGATTTTGAATTGGGTGAATCTAGTTCAAATAACACGAAGGAAAATAAGGTGGGGAGACGCGACCTCAAAAATTTTGACGAGTACATCGGCGTAACTACAAATACTTTTGAAAGTTTGAATTTTATGAACTAGTAGTAATTAGGTTGAGAACAGATTTTTAAAAAAGTATTCACAGCCAAGACACTATGGATCTCGCTGTTTAGTTTACATTTTTGTTCCACTCAGAGAAACCATGAATCACAATTTTTGCTTGTTGTATTTTAAATAAAAAA